CATGTCACCTGACCTCGCTGGCCTGCTGCCTCTGCGCATGTCACCTGACCTCGCTGGCCTGCTGCCTCTGCGCATGTCACCTGACCTCGCTGGCCTGCTGCCTCTGCGCATGTCACCTGACCTCGCTGGCCTGCTGCCTCTGCGCATGTCACCTGACTTTACTGGCCTGCTGCCTCTGCGCATGTCACCTGACCTCGCTGGCCTGCTGCCTCTGCGCATGTCACCTGTCCTCGCTGGCCTGCTGCCTCTGCATGTCACCTGACCTCGCTGGCCTGCTGCTTTGTACATGTCACCTGACCTTACTGGCCTGCTGCTTTGTACATGTGGGACGTGTTGCGTGTGTCTGTGTCCGGTGGGCGCGGAGTGATTGCAGACACAATGTAGCGGAGATCGATGCGGCTCGCGGTGGAAGTGGCCGGTGCGCTCATTAGCTGCGTCCTCGAGAAGCCGCCGGCGGCACTGTGTAAATTGCTGTGTCTGGGATGGGGGCACGTAGAGCGGAGGGGGAGGGGAGGGATTATTGGACAATGCCGGCTGCTTCCTCTCACCTGCCGCCTGTAATTGGCTTTTATTTAAAATGTTTTCATAATTGCCGAACATTTTATTTTCTGCCGCGTGACGCCGAGACGCGTCCCTTCCTGGAAACCATTCCGTGTGCGGGGGAGGGGGGGCTTCATACAGGACCTCTTCCCTACAATTACACCCTATCCGGGCCCTCCGCCCTCATTTCTCAGGAGCCCATCATCCCTTATATGTGCCCGGGGTGGGGGGGTCCCTGCCCCCAGAATCTGGCACCCAGGGGGGTCCCTGCCCCCAGAATCTGGCACCCAGGGGGGTCCCTGCCCCCAGAATCTGGCACCCAGGGGGGTCCCTGCCCCCAGAATCTGGCACCCAGGGGGGTCCCTGCCCCAGAATCTGGCGCCCGGGAAGAGGAAATGCCTGGGGTGGGGGGTTCCTGCCCCCAGAATCTGGCACCCGGGGTGGGGGGTCCCTGCGCCCAGGAAGAGGAAATGCCCGGGGTGGGGGGTCCCTGCCCCCAGAATCTGGCAC